AGTGCTGAAGCATGGAAGTTACGAGAGTTGAAACGAGTGAAAAGGGATCGGGAAGAAAAGGAGGAACGAGAAAGAGAGAAAATGGAAATAGAAAAATTGAGGACCATGTCTGAAGAGGAGCGACATATTCAGCTACGACTTATGCCGAAAACCGTTACAAACAAGGCAACCAAGGGCAAATATAAGTATTTGCAGAAATATTACCACAGAGGAGCGTTTTACTTGGATAAAGAGGACGAGGTCTACAAGAGGGACTTCGCACAAGCCACACTCGAGGATCATTTTGATAAGACCATCCTTCCTAAAGTTATGCAGGTTAAGAACTTTGGACGATCAGGACGGACGAAGTACACTCATTTAGTGGATCAAGACACTACACAGTTCGACTCTCCTTGGTCAACTGAGAACGCCCAAAACCAGAAATTCCATTCTCAGCAAGCTGGTGGCGTGAAACCTGTCTTTGAGAAACCGTCGTGGAATAAAAGAAAATTGCAGTGAGTATCTTCATTGATGATCAGATGAAAGATGCTGTCAACAGACAGATGGCGTTAACCGGTGTCTCCAAATTTTTTGTTCTTATTATTATTTCATGTATAGTTAATATAAATGGTTTATGAAATTGATGGATATTGTGTATCAAAACAGTGTGGTTTTATCACCTAATAAGTACTTGTTGCGGCGGCATATCAGCCGGAACACATACTTTGCAATAGGATGTCGCAATTATTCAGAGAAGTTTCTTTATCAACTCTCACTTTTACCATGGACAAGAACATGATTTTCAAGCCCCCGGAATCTTTTTCTGATGGAAATATAGCAGTTTCAACTTTTCACTATGATAAATCTTCAACACAGAACACCCTCACAGTGAACTTCTTTGCCAGATGACTTAAAGGCGAGTTCATATTAGAACGATTGCGATAATATTTTTGCGGTTCCGTAAATTTGCCTCAATTGTCAAAATACCCTGTTCATGTTGAAGCGGGCAATATCACTGGATCACTAATTCTCATTTCAACCACAAGGTTGTGATATTCTCCATATTTTCTCCTGTTTGAAAATATTTCTCACACCATAACGACGGGGTTTTCTCAATGAAACTTTATGTATGCTGACGACAGTCAGATAAAATAGCAATATAACCTTATTGTATGTTGACGTATAAAATTTTGCTGAAATCGCAAAAAAGTTCAATTTTTTCAACTTTTTTACGATAAACCCGACGCCATTTTAAATCACACTATCCATGCTATGTTCGTTCCAACATAAACTAGCCCTAAGAGTTAATAATTGCGTAGCGTCTAGCGACAGTTGCAATTGACTCCCGTTTTTTGAAAGCGGATACTCCTAATACCCCTGTAGTTAGGGTATTCTGTGCCTCTGTTATAATATAATTACATCTCATTTTCTGTTTCAAAATTCTTCCGCAGTAATTGCGATAGTTGTATGAATGCGCACAGGGGCATGCATTTTTTATGTTTCCTTCTTTAAACTCGGATTTATGTTTTTCTTACATTCAACTCGAAAATAATGTCTATGAACTGAGAATAATGTGAATTGTGAATAAGATTACATTGGGATGAGGTATAATGAAGAAATCGTCCAAATTCAAAGTCCAAGTAACGGGAGCCAAGTTCCAACTATCGCGAGACACTCACGGATATCTCTGTAGTCTAAATAATGGAGTCTAGAAGGATCAGTGATGTAAATCTAGTATGGTGTCACCCAAAAGATAAGAATAAAGACTGTAGAACGATATAAAAATCAGATGTCCAAGAATTTATATTATTTGCCATTGTAAACAAACGCCAAATCAATAATCATTGAATCACCCTAATTACTAAATTATCATTCAGAATAGTATTACAAAATTATATTCTTTCGATGACGTCACGGAGTACTTGCGGCTCTGCTACTTATAATGAAAAGTTGGCAGTCCGTCTCATGTCCTAATCTCTCCTATCTTATAATTGAAAACTAACCTTAGTTTACTACCTTTACCTGTGAACATGTCAGCTGTCATATCGTAGATAGAACTCGCAGTTGTTTTATTGTTTATTACATATTTTTGTAGGCATACAAAAATACAGGAAAATAATCATTGACACAAATATAATTGTTATAACAACAATCTAAGAAGCTACACGTATTTGAAGTGAATTCTGAAAGTGAGAACACTAAACCCATTTGTTGAGTTTGCAAAAAAGAAATTCAACCCTACATCCACATCCTAACAATAACTTCAAGATGATGAACCCTCAGTCCAATTACTCCATTCAAAGCACAGCTGGAGCTGTTCCAGTGAGAAACGAGAAAGGCGAAAGTTCTATGCAGAAAGTTAAAGTTCATCGGTATGTTTCTGGTAAAAAACCTGACTATGCCCACGATGACAGCGAAAGTGAAGAAGACGACTTTGTGGAACGGATAAAACATGTATCAGGTCCATCACCAGAACCGCCTAAAAGTGATGAAGACCAAGAAGATTTCAATGACCCGCGGTTAAGAAGATTAAAAATCGCTGAAGTTGACACAGAGGTACGCCCTGAAAGAAGGAGGCATATTGTGGAAGGCGAAGTACTAGATTCGTCAGAAGATGAAGAAGAAGGTGACAAAATACATTTGCCGGAGAATAAACATACTCTGGAAGCTGCACCAGACGATGATGAGTCAGAAGCCGAACTCAGCGACAGTGAAATTGAAAAGAAGAGAGAAATGATGAAGCAGAGGATGCTGAACAAGCAAGAGGAAGAGTTTATGGCTAAAGAAGAAGAAAAAGATGAGTCAGACTCTGAGGATTCTTCAGAATATGAGGAATATACAGACTCTGAGGAAGAAACAGGACCAAGGCTGAAACCTGTGTTCATCAGAAAAAAAGACAGGATTACTACCATTGAAAAGGAACATGAACTTGAGAAAAAACGAGAGGAGGAATCTCAGCGAAAGGCTGAAGAGAGGAGAAAAGAAACTTTACGCCTAGTGGAGGAAACCATTCGTAAGGAACAGCAGTTCCGAAATAAGGAAACAAATGAACCAAATTTAAATGATGTTTGCACAGACGATGAGAACGACGAGGTGGTATACGAAGCATGGAAGTTACGAGAGTTGAAACGAGTGAAAAGGGATCGGGAAGAAAAGGAGGAACGAGAAAGAGAGAAAATGGAAATAGAAAAATTGAGGACCATGTCTGAAGAGGAGCGACATATTCAGCTACGACTTATGCCGAAAACCGTTACAAACAAGGCAACCAAGGGCAAATATAAGTATTTGCAGAAATATTACCACAGAGGAGCGTTTTACTTGGATAANGAATTGACATTTGACTGATATGAAAATTGAGTGCTCTGTGATCGTGATCTATGACTTCTTCGATAGACGGACACGCCTATCATATTGAGACGGAACACAGAGATAGACAGATTGAAACCTTTGCTGCTCTTGTGGCGGTCTTTGTCTCGAGAACTGTGCTTGTTCGGAGAGAAATGCTTACTAGCCGAGGGTTGTTTACTCGAATTCTTGTTGCTCGAATTGGATTTTCCTCTATTCTTGTCTTTAGAACTGGAGTGATTTTTGTGCCTATTTTTAGAGAACGCGTATTTCTCATCGTCGCCCGTGGCTTTATAATAAATTATTATTTATTATAAAGCCTTACATAAATAAAAATCTAGTAGGTCGTAGAAAAACTGGCCTTATTTCCATAATAATTAATAATAAATCAGATTTCCTGTAGGTACTATTTGAACAGAATACATTTTCACCTGAAATGATTTATTTTATAAATATATAATATCCCTTAGACCAGCCGCCACTGTTTTATAGTCCAACTTACTTCCCGTAAACAAAGTTATGCTGTCTTCAATGTAACGATGGAAAAGGCCTCTCTATTGTCTTTTGTTACTCTGAGAGAGAACTAAAAATGGTCATGTATCATCAAATAACGTTCGGGTCCGCATTATATTCTTTCTAATTATATCGAAAACACACAAGGGCCACAAAAAATCACTATTATTTTTCCAGATTCATAGTGAATTCCCAGTTAAAAACTTTTAATGAACGTATTGTGCGAATAAAAGTTTACATGCGCGGTAATTGCTGTCTACAGACGCTTCCCAACAGCTGCCATTCACAAAACAAAAACATTCATCTTCTTAATTTATTAACCTCAGCCCTTGCCGCCATACGTCCAAGGGGGTGATCTAACAGGAAAAGGGTCAAGAAAACAGGCCGACTTCCAACAAAGCTCAGGCCACACGAGCACGTGTATGTCTTAGCCAAAATTGTGTAGTGTAGTGTCTTAGCCAAAATTGTGTAGGGTAGTGTCTTAGCCAAAATTGTGTAGTGTTTCAGTTTCACTTCAAAAGTACATGTACGTGTGTAAATAAAATCACCTGTGACAAATTCTTCACAGTTTAATACCAGATTCTTGAAGTAAAGACAATACATACTGCTTAAAAAATATATATCAAAACATACACTGTACACACAGGGAGTGAAAAATATCAGAAACTTAAAGTAACAGCGCGTTAATCATAACAATTAACTACATATCTACTTTTTGGATTTCTTTGAATGATGTCGATCCTTACTATCATCCCTACTGCGCTTCTTGTGAGAGCTAGAATGGGAACTCCTACTCCTGTCCTTGTCGGAACTTCTGTCAAGGGAACTCTTGGACGACTTGTGCTTGGAGGAAGAGTGCCGGTCTCTGTCTCGGTCACTGCTGCTCTTGTGGCGGTCTTTGTCTTTGTCTCGAGAACTGTGCTTGTTCGGAGAGGAATGCTTGCTAGACGAAGACTGTTTACTCGAACTCTTGTGGCTCGAGTTGGACTTTCCTCTATCCTTGTCTTTAGAACTGGAGGAACTTTTGTGCCTATTTTTGGAGGAAGCGTATTTATCATCGTCGCCCGTATACGCGCGTTCTCTGTCTTCTTCCGCGGCCTCCCTTTCTAAGTCCGACCAGTCTTTACCAGATTCTTCCTCAGAACCTGAAACGAATGACAATATATAATATAAGAAAACCCAATAGCATTAACGGTAGTGTAAGCGGTCCCGAAACGGTACCTTGAGAAACACCCCAGACTCACCTAAATCTTCCTCTGACCCGCTATCATCCTCGGTGTCCCCCTCGGAGTATTCGGAGTCTTCCTCGCTCCATTCGGAGCCCTCTTCGCCTGCATCCGAAGGCTGGTAGGCCTCGTCTTCTTCCTCGGAATCCTCTTCTTGTGCATCTTCTTCGTCCGATTCGGGATCCAAGAAAGTCCAGCCACCGCTGTCGAAGAATCCTTCCGGATCGTCCGTTATGGTTTTCATGATTTTTACCCAGTTCAAGGACTGCACACCTTCCGAATACCTGGAACGAACAGGAATCAAGAGTTTGAGGTTGCAAAAAGTTATGAGGAGGTGAAGTGTAATTGTGTTTCCATTTGTATTATGAGTACATATTCAAGTATTCAACTTTTTGTTTAAATTTCAAGAAGTTTCAACTAACGAACATTTTTTAATGATAATAATCTTTATTGAAATAGGAAACCTACCACTAGCACAATGAAATTGTGCTAGTGTTATTATTACAAAAAACAATGTATGGAATAAAAATTTTAAATTTAAACAATTTGAGATTCTAAAAATGTACACATCTTCAAATCAAGACTGAAGCAACTTCTGTCAAAGAACTGCTACAGTATTGATGACTTTTATTTGTAATCCAATACTATATGCGTGTATAGGAAACAATTATCTATTATTATATTTATGTGGTATACATCTGTGGTATACACACATTAATTTTATAACTTTGTGACATTATCTATTTCGTATAATTTTATTTCTTTTCAATATTGAACATTGACGTTTTCCTATTTTTCATTTGTACTTCTGATCCTGTGATTATACAAAAAAATCTGAGTAAATAAAGAGATTATTATGATTATTATTATTTAAATTAGCATGTATCCAGACAATGAATATTACATATGAAGATTTCAGTATCATATGTTGAGTAACATTTAAATAGATAATGAATTATATTTATTCATTTATTTTTTTATTTATTCAATTTCTATACAATATATTAACCTTAGAAAGTTAACAATTCCAGTATCTATACATCTAATAAGTCAACCTACATAGAGAAATGAAGAAACCAGAAATCAAACTTTCTATGAAGAAAAGAGAAATTAAACTTTCTATGTTTTTTACCACTTTTTTTGTAAGTAACGTTACTGCAGTTTTGTCCTATACAGACATTTTCAAACTTATACAATAAACAAAAACCAGTTTATTTTCAAACTTATACAAAAATATTGTATAAGTTTAAAAATGTCCGTATGGGATGAAACTGCTGTAACGTTAGTTACAAATAAAAGTGATAAAAAACATAGAAAGTTTAATTTCTCTCTTCTTCATTATGATTTCCTACCACGTAGTAACGGCTACATCCATCAATTTACATAGAGAAAATTCAAATAAAATTGTGATAAAAAAAGTCTTATAAATCTATACCACGTAGAGTATACCCAAGAGTGCTCTGAGAGACGTGAAAAAAAAAACAATATTGGTCCCATTGGCATTCAATAGAATTCTGGACAAAGGAGAATGTTTTTCATAATTACACCTATGAAAGTCGAGACTGAAAGTTTGGTTGTTACGTGTCCTCTTCGGGGGAACATGCAGATTGACTTGACAGAGAAGAGTTGGGCAATTAATTTCGTTGTCCAACAGTTTATGTAGGAGTATTACGTCTGCATGTGCCTGTCTTGTGCTGAGTTTGAGCAATCCAATAGTAGACCGAATTACTTTTATCCGCCATGTTCATTTTGTAGGCAACATATCTAAGAAATTCATTCTGAACTTTCTCAATATCATAACTGTGGTTGAACTAAGTTGGAGACCAGATACAAATGTAATACTCAATCACTGATCGAACCAGTGCAAAGTATAGTATTTTAATAGAAATAACTAATAGGTAATTTGGAATTATTGAAATATTGTCAAGTGTTGGTGGGTTCGTGAAAAAGCGAGTCGATATTTAAAAAAAACTCACCTGATATCACAAGAATTCAACCACTCCTTGACGTGATCTAGCATATTCATCGGAATGGCGTTAACCATGGAAGTTTTCCTGTGGTAATCCTTAAAAACGAACACCATATCGAAATTCTTCAAATGGAACTGGACACGTTCGAAATGTACCAACTCCACGTCTTCCAAAGTAATGACGAACGGAGGCCATTCGGTAAGGTTTACCAAACAACCAGAGGTGGGTTGAAGGAGAACTGTGGAACGGAACGGGGCTCCAGGAAAACCAAGTTCTCGGAAGGGTGTGTCGAATTCAATTTCTTGTTTTGTCATAGACTCCACCTATAATAATAACAATATTCTATTGGTTTCAGCTGAGCGATGCTCATGCGACGGTTTTTTTGGTTCTCATAAATTTTGTCAAAAGTTATCAGAGGAGTATTTAATTGTTGTATCGTCAGCAAATAATTTAACTAATCCCTTCACAGGTAAATTTTTCAAAGAGTTGATGTATATTAATTTTTTATTTAATTTTAATTTTTTTTATTTGATTAATTCATTTAAGGTCAATCCTAATTTACAAAAAATAAAATAGTTAACATACCTATTTTACAATAANTTTATTTGTAACTAACGTTACTGCAGTTTCGTCCTATAAGGACACTTTCAAACTTATACATAAGTTTGTATTACAATAAAAAAAAGGTTTCTATTCACACAAAAACAACACATTTCATGATATAATACTGCATTCATTTTTGAAAATAACCCACATTCTTTTGAAACACCAGATCGAATATCAATCTCATCAGCCATTTCTCAGGAAAATTCCCAGGCTATATTATGTTTGAACTGATGTGGGAGTAGCTTTCGCAAAATAAACATTCATCCAATCAAATCTACCTCGTTCACAGGTAGATGGAGCGATGAAAAACCTGTTGTTTGTTTACTTCAGCCTAGTTCGAGGAACCATACTATGAAGGAATTCTATTTTGAAATATGTGTGTCCTTTAGATAATTTGGGGCCACTCAATGTGGATAAATCACAACAGAAATTCCTTCTACCGAATGACTTGATGAACCCACCCTGTTCCTACGGATTATTTATCTGAAATGTTTGTTTCATTCATTTTGCTCAAGTACTATTTATTTATTAGAGATTTTTTGAATAGTTGGCAAAAATAAACAGAATTTTAATAATTGTCAAATATAAAAACCACGTCTTGTCATTCAAAGTATTTTCATTCAAAAAACTATTGAAACCAAAGGCAATTTCAAAACCAAAACTAACGGAGTCAGAAACACACCCAGACCTATTTAAAATTAATTTGTTACATGGGCAACAACTGCTAAATTTGTCAATAACTGAACATATTTCTGTAGAAAACTCGTGCTCAATTTTTGCAAGAGTGATTGTAATATTATCAACAAAATTTGGTATGTGGCAAGTCAATAATAAAAAAAAACAAGAACTGGCTCCAAGACAAAACCCTGAGGATACCATGTTTCACACCATAAGAAACCGATGTAATTCCATTGCATTTGACCACCAAACTATGATTTCCTATATAACACTTTGCAAACTTATTAAAAAAAACGTTTGGTGTTATAGGACATGCATTGTTGCATTTTATAAATACATCTTTGAGCCCTGGCAGATTCATGAAGGAGCTCAAGACCAGTGTACTTGTGCCAATTCAGAAAATACCTAACACAAATAAATCCTGGGAATTTAGACCAATCAACACTTTGCCTTGTATTGAAAAAATATTAGAACTCGCAGTTTATAATCAACTCATTGAATATCTATAAAATAATGATATTTTACTAAAATATCAGTCAGGTTTCAGAAAACCTCATTCATGTGAGTCTGCATTACAAGTCACAATAAATGGAAAGAATCAATAGATAAGGGGCATTAATTATATCATAGCCGTATTTTTAGATCTTAAAAGAGCTTTTGAGATAATTGATCGCCACATATTACCAAATAAACTGCAAAGTATTGGTATCAGGGAAACTGTTTTGTTATGGCTGACTGATTATTTATCACAACGCAAACACGTAACCAAAATAAAAGATTCAGTGTCATCATCTCGCGATGATGTTTTCGGGGTACCTCAGGGGAGTGTTTTGGGACCTATATTATTTTTAATCTACCTGAATGATATAGATACCATCCATGATTGTGATTTCATGAACCTTTTTGCAGACGACACTTTGTTATCAATTTCAGGAGATAATATAGAAACACTAGCTGATCAAATGAATATTGAACTAAAAAATGTTGTCAAGTACATGAATCGCAATAAACTAAAACTCAACACCTCCAAAACAAAATATATGATCTTATCAACTGGTTATAAGCTATCACTCATCAACAATCTCAACATAAGATTTCAAATTGCAGGTGATGTAATAGAGTTCGTAAGTGAATTCAAATACTTTTTGTTGTTGAAATCATTGAAAAATGCGTTTCTTGTTTTTTTTCTTCTATCATATCATTTTTGTTATTTATGTGTCATTTATTTATATATTTTTAAAATGATGTACGTATATTAGGATGTCCTAAAGAAATCAATAAATATATTAATACTTTATCCAAAACAACACATTATTGACAAATTTCTTTTCTACTGATTTTTTCATTAAGAGGTCGGAAGAAACTTTACCAAACGCTCTTGTCAGGTCCAAAATAATCAAAAGAACCAGGTTATCATTACCGACATGTGCATAGATACCCTAAATCCATGTTGTTTATCGCAGAATAGGTCATTTCATCATTATAGTACAAAATCATCCTACCTAAAACCATTTGAATGGGCCTCCAGGGAGCCAGTCATACGTTTCGACACAATGTTAGGCCTGATGTAGAGATCCTTCAGCTTGGGATTACCCTTGTTTTGGGACAGGACCAAGGTGTCCTGCTTGACCAAGTCTTCCTTTTCCTTTTCTTCCGCTTCCCTCGTTTTGAATTTCCTTTGAACTTCTTTGATGAGGCGGAAGGCGGTGTTCAAATTGGAAGAGGGGGCCGTTACTTCTCCGGGTACTTTCGTGTTCAAGCTTCTGTAGGTCACTTCCTTGACGAAGGTCGCTTCTGGTTGAGACCAGTTTCCTAAGAGAAAAAGTTTGGAAAAAATGTATGGATGGAGAAAAACCGTTGTTGAAAGAATACAGAAATCAAGTGGTGCCCAGCACTTGATATCTGTCTAAAAAAATTATTATTTGAAGGTAAATTCCAAAAATCTTAAGATAAAATTGCATTCTTACCTCCCTCTCCCTTTCCCATAGCAGATCCTGGATGGAAAAAGTTAATACGCAGGTAAGTGTAATCCCCTTCCACAGACTGGGAAATATTCTTGATGGTAGAAATATGGAAAGGCACAGCAATTCCGTACACAGGTAAAATCACAGTCTCATACTTTTGGTCTACATACAACTTCAGCTCCTTGACTTCAGGTACTTTCGGCAGTTGGTTCACACTTTTATATGACACCGTATTCTTCCTAACTTTTTCCTTATCCTTTCCACCGGACTGCTTCGCCAAACGTTCTTTCGCCTTCTCGTTCAACAACGTTGCCAATTCCTTCTGATGCTCCTTGCGCTTTTCTTCTGTACTATGCTCTGTGCGTAGTTTAGAATCTAACACTGCAGACCTGTTAGCATTTGTAAAAGAAAATCGATTACTTTCACTTTTAACTCTCAAGTATATAACCACATATAGCATAAGTACTGAAACTGTGATTTTTTTAAACGAAATATTTTGTATAGTATTTTAATTTGATGTTCTGAAAACAGTTGCTTTCGAACTCAACAGCGGTATGTTCCGTGCACTCATTGATGAAGCACATGTAATGTTTAATTGCCCCAATTGCAACTTGGAGCAGCGTTTTTCAACAGAAAAGTAAAGATAAATGATTACCTCTTGCCCCTGCCGAGGACTTCAGTCTTCTTTGGAGTGTTTTCCTTTTCCTCATCATCCTCCTCCTCCTCTGAATCATCTTTGAGGAAGATACCGATGTTTTTCATTTTCTTCTTAGATACTGTCAGCACAGAAGCAGGTTGGTCTTCGTTCACTATAACGGTGTCACCTATGAAGAGGGCGTACACTTTACCTTCTTTCTCGGAGGCTTCCTTGTTCTGCAAGTTACCGAAGCCTATGTTGAGATTGAATACCATGCCCTTTTTGGCTTTCGCGGTACTTTTAGGCCCAATCATCAATGAGCTCTCCTTGAATTCGATACCCATCGCGAAACCAAAATTCTTTGTCACATGCTCCACGAGTTCTGGCTTTTCTTTCTTTATGTATCCGAAGCCTGCTTCGTATACGTCCGAAAGTTTGACGCCATTTTGGAGCTTTTTAAGTACTTCCTCCTCGACGTTGAGAAGAAAATTGTAATTATTTTGAATTGTCTCGGTGGGATTTACGAGCAGAGTTCTAACGATATTGGAGCAGTAGGATTTGTACCTAGCTCCCAGTGAACATATTATTGCACCAAAGTGCAGATTGTTTTTATCACTTACAACACTGAATTTCAAACTGTAATTACCTCCGGATTGAATTATAGCCGGGTAGCACATGTCTACTTGGTTAATGTCTATACCTGATACATACTTCTTATCGTTGATTGCAGACTCCACACCTTCCGCCAGCTTGCTGTGTTTTACCTTCTTTTCCGAATCAATAATCTCCATTATCTGATCCTTCAGGTATTTCGTGAACACATCAACTGTGACCATGCAGGCTTTCTTGATGGTGATAATCTCGGAGTCTTCCTTGGGGCTCATGAGGTAGCCCATCTGCGAGCTCATATCGATGTTCTCGAACTCATTCTTCTTGAGGGCAGCTTTCCAACTCTCTACCAAAGGCCCTGTATAGTTTTCTTTGGCAAATACACCTATAGTTTTACCATTCTTGCTCTCCTTTATGGCTTTGCATAATATTTCGAATTTGGCTGCATCGCTGTCTTTGTCCCTCACGAGGAGACCCAGCTGTACGTGAGATTCGTCTTTGGAGTCGGCTTGGCGAAGAAAGTCGATTTTCTTCTTGCTGGCTAGGAAATACGTTTTTTTCTCGGTAAAGACCATGATAGTGTCGGTGAGTTCGTAGCCCAAAAGCCATGTTTGCAAGGCGCCGGATTTGCTGTAGACGATTTCGTCGTCTTTTCCGACGGAGGTGACCAGTGCATCCATTTTAGAAAATCCATTTTCGCCTTCGGAATTTTGCCATGCGTTGTATAACTTTTTTAATCGGCGATGAAAAGTTTCTTTATCTAAATTTAAATTTGCCATTTTCCGACACTTCGACACTACCAACAATCAGCCATTTAACAAAACCACTGCTTTAACTTTACGGCTTTACTGCTTTGCTCAATTTATGAAGAAAAAGAAGCGCGTAAAAAACATAGACATGGTAAAAAAGCATGAACATTGACTTTCTTTCATGTAACTTCTCTTCTTCTTCTCTTAATGGGGTATTTCAAATTTCATGGTTTACAAAAATATATATTGATTAATTATTTCAAATTAAAACACTATGTATTGAGGGATTTTCCTATATCGATACTAACATATATTTATAGGGGTGAAAAATTAGTAGTGAGATCAATAAAATTTAAGGGTTTGAAAAAAAGGAAAAAAATGAGTACAGTAGTCACAGTAATGAAGTTACAGGAGGGTGAAATCAAGTCTTTTACAAAAAATTGAATATTTATAATAATGGAGATACAATGAGTAGGGATAGTGTTGATACCGAGGTCCAGGACTTCTATGCAAGCATAGAAATGAATAATGAGAATCTGTTTACAATCGAAGTATTATTGTTTGGTATAGGGATAAAGGACCGTTCATAGTTATTGTAGAATCTACATCAGAATGCCTCACACCAACAAACTAAACGGCTGAAACTGCAAGGTCGGATCCAGGTTTGGCACCAAGGGGTGGTCACATAGTCGTGGTCAAGTTGAAGAAGTTATAATTAGATATTGATAATAATGAAAACAAGTAAAAAGTAGGTATTTTAATAATAAATGTAAGCACTGTAGGTATTTAAAAATACCTACCTATATTTAAATGACAAAATCATGCCTGAAATGTGACGTGACATATGAAAGGTGGCGACTGTGGTGATGGCGCGGTGAAATTCAAATTTTCGATGCCTTCGTTCCCGAATAATGCGTTTGCCATCAAACAAAGTATTATATTAACATAATTAAATGTTGAAAGAACTTAAATAAACTCGATATTGTGACAAAAAATATATAAAAACATTATGTTAAACAATTTCAATTAGCGGTCTACCTTGGTCCTAGGCCCAGCCCAGGGGGCTGGGTCATTATCCCCCCTTGTGAAACTGTGTTCGAGACGATTGTAACAACATAAAAAAATCGCTAATCTAATGTACGTATCTCGTGAAATTTGAATAGTCACCTTACTTTTTGAACAGACCTCGTATACATCACGCACAAGCTTTATAGCAGAGGTTCTCAAACTTATTTTGTCTACCGCCCACTTCTAGAATTAATAATTTTCAAGCGCCCCCCCCAATTTTTTTACTTTACTACATCTTAAGAATTATAATTGCAGTCATTATTTTAATAATTAAATTATGTGTGTCATGTGAAAATAAGACTTTCTGATGAGGTTAATGTGCAACACCATTTTGTAATATTAGGAAAACTTTTATTTATGTAATTAAAACAAACATTTCAATTTGGATTTTAAAACTAATCTAATGTGAAGGATGAGTTTGATAGTTTTTAACAAGTTTGTTAATATCAGGCTCGAATTCACTCAAAAACAGCCGTGAGTCGCTGCGTTCGGTGATCTGCAACCGATTTCTCTTTTCAGTTAGCAACGTTGCCACAGCGCTAAATCTACGTTCACACAAATACAATGATGGGAATGCTATCAAAAATCGTTGAACGATGGACCACAATCCAGAGTACCTTTGCGGGATTGGCTTTTGTAGCCAAAATTCTTGGTTTCTATTTTTGAATTTTATTTCCTCGTTCTTTATCAGTTCTTCCAGCTGGGATGATTCTGTTGTGTTGACATTTGAAAAAGGATCCAACACCCAGTCCGGTATTTATAATTTTAAAATGTCCTGTAATCGTTCTGCGAACTCACTGTGGAGGTTCTCCAAATGTTGGCAGTAAACAAGCAAGTCGTCGTTGTTAAATGATACTGCTGACAAATTATGGAAATTGCGAAACTCACGTCTGCCGATATTATTCTTGTATAAGAGCAATTTGGCTACAAAAGCAGCAATGACATTTTTTGTTTTAATCAAATTCAAGTCGTCACCCTGAAGTTGGAAATTGACATCATTAAATAATTTAAGCCAAGTACGCAATATCATTCTTTGAAGTGATGAGGTTGTCGTGCAATTCTTTGTTTTTGTTTTCCAAGAATTCTATTACAGAGTCAAATAGATTGTAAAATCGAGTCGGGCAGTTACCTCTTGATAACCAACGCACTTTTGTGTGAAATAGCAATCGGATGAAATCTTCATCATTAGCAACACAAAGCTGATTGAATAATCTGTCATTTACAGATCTGTTTCGGATTTTATTGACTGCTTTGATGATATATTGCAGTGATTGAGAGACAGGAAATAGTTAGTGTCTAGTCCACTAGATGACGTTACACGAGGAAACGCGCGTTGAGCATATAGGTTGTGTTAAAAGCAAAAAAACATGTTTAAATTAGCCATCGCCCCCCTAAAAGACTACTTTATAGTTAGTGAACGTATTATGTATATTTCCAAAACTCATGTTCATGAGTCTTCTTTATTCTATGGATATGCTTTATTTTTTCCGAAAAAAAAAAAAACGTTAATTTTTACAGGTATTTTAAGAGATTTGTGGACGATTGGAAAATGGTGTCTTTATAGTTGAAACTTCTGAAATCCAACATTTATATTTTAGTAAAAAAAAACTACAGGAGTATAAAATATATTTCATAAACTAAAATACATAAATAGCTTTTACAGTTCAAAATAAATAATGGAAAGAGAGTAAATTTCAGTATTTCTATCACAATTCTATTAAACTACCCTAGAACATGAAAAATATCACAATTACAAGGAATCTGTCACTAGCCGAATATCTTTTGTTCAACTTTGTTCACAATAGCCAAGAGAGAAGTGTTTTCTGTAGACTTGACTCCTTGTTTATGAAGCTGTGATAATCTCCTTTCTACCTCTTCTGTTGTCTTGTCATTTTGAGTCCAGACGATGACGCAAGTTTGCAGAAGGGGCACATATAATTCAAGCAAGTCGCTATCGCTAACTCCTTCAAATCGGTGGAAGGCAAGATCTGCCCACTTCAATGAATTTGGCATTGTTGGGATGAGTACACTGCAAGCCAACAATCTGACTAGAGCCAATAATACTGCGGGAGACCTGTCCATGTAGACCTGAAATTTTCATGTGGAGGTAAGTTTACAACTACCAAATATTGGCGAGGGGCTATGAAAGGCCATGTACCCTCTAAATTCTACGACTCCTAATCTATTTATTTTATTCCAAAATTCCACAACTCGAAAACACTAGGTTTTATACAGGGTCATCTGTTTTACATCAACTTTCTTTGATAGTAAAGTATATTATTGCAGAAATTTTGATAACTAACATTCAGTGGAAAAGTTATTAACTACTAATCGTTTGAATAGTTGAACTCTACTCCATAGCAACTAATGAGAATGTTTTTTCAATTTTTGGGAAGAATGTTAACACATTTCAATTCCTCACCTTATTCAGCAATCTCAAATTATTTTCCAGAATAGGATATGCTAACTCATGATCTTTTTTATCCAATAATTCCTTGACCTGTTTCAATTCGATGTCTTGAAGGAAATGAAGCAATGCGTTGGAGTTGCGTAATTGACTAGCGTCGGCTACATAATTCATGAATGACTGGAACTCTGTACTTCTAGAAGAAATCAATTCATTGTCGAAATTTCCTAGCAGCACCTTTTTTGGAAATGGAATATCAATCATCAGCTGCGGTTGCTCTTTCTTCAAAGCCATGTACAGATCGAAAAAGTGGGTGTAACGTCTTTCCAGGATCGAAGGACTGGGATCATCATTCCCAGAAATGAATCTTGCTTGTAAGGTGTACAAGACATATCTCTTCTCCTCAATTTCATCTATTATCCTGGTTGATATAATTTCAAATGTAAGACCCTGTCTTTCATTACCTTGAATAAAAAAAACATTTTTTTTATTTTTTACACGTCACTCAATAAGGCAACAATAAAATATTATATTTACCATATACTCACCCATAATCTGTGTCATCCTGCTTATTCATACTAAAAACCCCGACAACTTTAATGATGCAAATTCTTTGTTTATAAGTATGATGTAGATTATGGACACATTTTACTTTGAATTTAAAGTGATGCCAACAGTGTAAACTCAAAATTGAATTCGTCACATCATCGTAGGATTGGCAATCATGCAAGTCATTAACAGGTCCGCCCCATAGCGGATCTGTGGGGCCTGGGGTCAGGTCCGCCCCACAGATCAGGCTCAGTATTATATATTAAGTGTTTAACGCGCTTTTTATTAGAACAAATGATGGGCATATAATATAGAAATATGTTCCAAATATGGACGTATACTTATCGTTTTTAGATTTCAGTGCTGTGGTGTTACATTTTGAATTGTATAAACTCATGTTAAAAGGTATGATTTTTGTAATATTATAAATAAAATTGTTATTATTCGAAACATGTAGATCGTTTTCATCTATCACATAACGATACATTTTTTTGAAGAGAAATGAGCTGATGAATAATTTATACTGAACAGGAATTTTTCCCAATCTCATTAAAACGGTTAAAGTCATTCCGATATATAATAAAGGGGATCCGAATAACATGACACATTTCCGACCGATCACCAGTACTATCTGTTTTCTCTAAGATATTTGAATATGCATATTTGAACAGACTGAACGTTTATTTGAACGAGAACAACATTATATCTGAAAACAAATATGGTTTTCAGAGTTCAAAGTCGAACGTCTTGAATTCAATTAGCGGAGGCAAGTGTCTTATTGGCGTCTGTTGTGACCTCAGTATGGCATTCGACTGTATTGTAAAATTCCATAATATTGACATAAAAAGAAGTTTTCTGAACTGGCTGAAAACGTTTATCTCAATACGGAAGCAATATGTTATATAGTATCCCTAAGGTTAATAATAACGCGAAAAAGTTATATACATCCAATTTTGTGGATATTACTGTTGGTGTACCACAGGGCTCAGGACTTAGCCCTATACTTTTTTCAATGTATGTGAATAATATGGAATCCATCTCTATATATGCTCATTTCACACTATATGCATATGCATCACTGGTTATATCACATAAAATAGATCAATATGTACAAACGAAAGGTAACTTAATCCTGCTAAAAATATCCTATATTTTAATTATAACAAAACACACTCAATGATATTTCATGCAAGACGAAAAGAAATAGCCGGTTTGAACTTGAAAATTGAAGAAGATGAAATTTCTCCGTGCTCTACGGTGAAGTTTCTAAGTGCATACTTGGATGAGTTTCTCAGCTGGAAAACTCATTGTGAAACAATTATATCAAAACTTTTGTTATGTTCTAGACCATGGTATTACTCTCTGTACCATGCCTGTATATATTATTCGAATGACATGTTTTAATATAGATCTTTATTTAAAAAAAAAATAGGTAACCCTAATATACATATATATCCCAATTAAATCAACGGTGTATATATACAACATTAGACAAACACAAAAAAAGAAATACAATGCAACAATAATATACGAAAATCACAATTTTAAAAATAGAATTAATAGAATTAGTAGAATTACAAAAATTACAAGAATTGCTTTCATTACGATATCTATTTCATCTTAATAAGTTCTTTCAATTGTTTTTTAAACAAATTCAACGATGATGATGTTTTAATGAAGTCTGGTAGTTTATTAAATTCTTGGAAACCTTTGAAAAATAAAGAGTTCATAGTACTGCGATAAGCAGTGCTGCTAATGTGAATGTCATTTTTACCCCGAGTGTTATAAGTGTGAATGTCTCTATTCAATATTATTAATGTATGAAAGTAAGCAGTATGACAACCGCACTTGTTTCATAAGAAATTAAAATGTGCATTCTATTAATACTAGCTGTAAGACTTTTATATGCCTTAAGATAAAAATTCTCTGATTTACATGTCCTTCAACGTAATAGGGTTCAAAATATACAATTTGCTCCCCCTTGAACTGAAAAACTAGTACAATCCACAGCTTCAAAATTACACTTAAGTCTTTCTTACTACTATTACTCCCTTCAGAAAATTATTGAATTATAATAGAAAAAGATTCAATGAATCCGTTGCTGCTTTATTTTTAAGCCCTTTCATAATTAATCCTACACAGTGTCTTTTTTTCGTCTTACAGGATAATAAAACTATTATTTCTATGTATTATACTTCGAAGAAAAGAGGAAAGAAAAAGTGTCCACTCTTCAATTGCCAGTCCATATTATGACGTCACTGAATGAAGTTCACGAATTCTATGCTCAGCTCAGCTGCTCAGCTGTCAGCTTATGACTTTTCTATTTTTTCAATGTGGTAACTGTCAAATATTTGACAGTTGACCAATTGAAAATATGGAAATTTGTTTGTTTATAGATTTTGTAAAGGAATTGAGAAAATAGATATAAGTACCAGTAACAGATAAGATGGAGTTGCAGCTATGTCCATATGTGTGTTCAAGTTCAGTCTCCACAGATTTATCAAAATTTATGTGATGAAATAATGTAAATATTAGTTAAATACGAAACCAAATGTGGTAAGTATCCTTCAATCAGGAAAAATAATTATATAATTTTAAAATGATTTTAGATATTCCCCCAAAAATGAACAGTTCTGATTTGGCCCTCCCAAGTGGAATAAATTGGAAAGAGTTTGCCTGCGGATGGGGGGCAGCATTTATAAACGTAACAGTAACCTATCCTATAAATAAACTGATTTTTCGACAGGTATCTATATATCATTCCGAATGTTTTCGAAATCTCAAAACACTTTCTTAACAGATGCTTCATGGAGTCAAGGTCGGGCAAGCATTTTCGCAGCTAAGAAGCGAAGGTTTGTTTTATCTATACCGAGGAATGCTGCCTCCTCTCTGCCAAAAAACTTGCTCGCTGTCCATAATGTTTGGTGTATATGAAGAAGTGAGAAGGCCTCTTCTGGAAATTGGTTTCAACGAGTACACTGCTAAAGCCTTAGGAGCTTTAGTTTCGGGAACAACAGAGGCGATTTTAATGCCTTTCGAGCGAATTCAGACCCTTCTCGCCGATGCCAAATACCACAAAGACTTGAAAAACACTCTGCATGCCTTCCAGGTTGTACGGAGCTACGGATTCGGGGAGTATTACCGAGGGTTGACTCCCATATTATTGCGAAACGGACCGTCCAACGTCGGATTTTTCATAGTGAGAGATGAGGTTCAGAGGCGGATGCCGAGATACGAAAACGAATTCGTTCGCAGTTTGACCGAATTTATGTGTGGGGCTATGATTGGTGTGGTGTTGTCTAGTATTTGCTATCCTTTGAACGTCTTGAAAATTGCGATGCAGAGTAAAGTTGGGGGGGCTTACGAAAATCCGTTTGTGGTTTTACTTAGGATATACAGGGAAAGGGGAGGGAAAATTCGTTATATTTATCACGGTGTTCAAACTAATTGTACCAGGGCTTTCTTGAGCTGGGGGGTAATGAATACAGCTTATGAACATTTGAAGGAGGTGGTTTATGCCTAACGCATCAACTTTGACAATATATTGCAGGAAAACCAGATTTGTGATTGGTTCGAATGGAACAGGAAAATGAATAGCCAAATATGCGAAATCGTTTGTGTCTTTCAGTACCAATAGAGGCAACTCAGACAACAATGAATATCCAATTCGGGTCAGTCCATTTTGGTGGTCCAAAATGGTGGCTTCCGGACATGAATTGGATATCCGGTGGATATTCATTGGATGTCTGACAGAATATCTAAAAAAAATGCCATAAGCAGTAACTAAGAAATAACTGACACTCGAAAACACTTCTTCTATACACCAGAACTGCAACACTTTTCTCAAGTTCATTTCCTAGTGTTGGCAACTTGTGTTGGTGTAACAAGCATAAAGGTGTTGCAGTATGGTGTGTGGAAGCAGAGTTTTGCTTTGAATTCCACGCCAATATATATAATTTTTTTTAAAGCAAATATTGGCCAGAAATTCAAGCACAACAGGCATTTTGTAAAGGATCAAAAGGTATATATTGGCACTGATAGAATCGTTTACGTGCCGATGGCAATCTAATTGCGAAAATAGTCAACTTTTATTTTTCTATTTACGTGTTATTTCGTCATTTACAATATTTTTAATGTTCCTATCAGAGTATTGTAACTTTATAGCTTTTATTTATTTTCTCGATGATGAACTGAAGGTTTGAATGAATTTTGTTGAACGGTGAAGTTTGACATTCAATGTCTAATGTGAATATTTGAATCCTGAAAGCAGAAATATCTAGGATCCAAGTTTTCAGATTCAAAATACTATAAAAGGAACTCTTAGAAATATGCGATTGAAGCTGATAACTTCATTCAGTGAATTGTTACATGTGCTATATGATTTTTGAGCTCATCATTCATTAATAAAGGAGATGTACAATAGTTTGCGCTCTGTATGGGATTATGTTCGCTGGATTGCAGGAAATATATTTTCATTATCTGTTAGTTTGTGTAGAACACCTCTGTTTTTAATGAATTGTGTGCTGTGGGATTTTAAAAATAAAGTAATCTGTTGAAAGTTGTTTTTTAATTCTTACAAATGTCTTGTAAACACTTAACCATGGAGATTACGAATACAGTGAGCAAAACAGTGACATTTGATCGAACTTGACGTTCTTTTTCAGTCTTGACTCTCTTGGACTTTTCCATTGGGATGATTGGTCTTTGGTTTCGATGTCGCTTTTTTTTTCCAGAAGGCGTATCAATCCGATATACCAGCTTTCCAAAAATGCTTGACATGAACTTGTAATGTTCTTGTCTTGACATATCTTTCTAAAGGTATAATCCTTCGGTGAGTCAAGTTTCGTCCACATAATAAATATGTTTATTCTCACGTCAAAACTATCTTATCTGCCTCAGTTATTGTTTCCTTCAGCAAATAACTCCAGCAGTTTTGATCGAGAGCAGTTTTTTGTTTTATTTTTCCCAGCTGAAATTTAATTCCCTTTGAAAATTTCCAAAATTTCTTATCATTCGATGCATACTTTGATCATAGTAAAAACCAACCATCAGTAAGTCCACTCCCACTACTTTCTTTCATAAATTCACAAAGTTCTTGGTGACCTCGAAACGAAGTGCGGAGCCAATTTCGTCCTTACTATAGGCGTGCGCTCATATAAAAACGAAATTTAAGGATATTGTAGACGATTTTGTGGTAAGTTACTCATTATAACCAACTAAAAACAATAATAACAGCGAATAAACTAAACTTAATATCAATTTCCGACCGTTTATTATAACTAATCCGATGCCCGTGGGATCGTCGAATTCTTCGATACTACAGCACCAAACGCGTTGGATGAGAATCTCATCCTAAGAGCGGTTGAAGGTCCCCGGAAATCCGGGCGGATCACGTGGTAAGAGAGTCTACTTTGTTGCATTATTCTGTGCTTAGATCTTCTTTTAAGGCTACTATATTATTTTGTCGAGGGTCGGTATTTTGTTCTCGAAATAAAAAGAATGTATGTTCTGTTCTTCTAATTGCAAGTTTGTAGTTTTCGTCAACGGGCACAGTTTTTCTTCCTGAAGATGGTTTTGATTATTTTACAGCTTCATTTTATTCTCTCTTGAATTTATTTGTCGATGATTTTGAAACTCCCGTAATTTGCCAACACATTTCCTTGTGATGTTCTGTTTGGAACCTTTGGTGTAGTAATGCATATTACTGGAGTTTTTACCCAACACCAAATCGTTATTTTTAACACCTTGACACGTGTTTCGATCACCAAGTGATCATCTTCAAGAAGAAGATTAAACTGGAAACTTCGCGAAACTAAAGCTATTTATGCTATACAGATATATCACACAGGTAAACCATACAGGAATACCACACATACAAGTATACCACCCGAAATAAATTTTACAATTAGCCTTATCTATTATTTTACAATATGTTCTTATGTAATGTTTAAATGTTATAGCTATATATAAAACAATTTTCAGCTATATAAAAAATGAATTTCACAATATTGCCTATCTAAATATATTTTTACAATGTGTCCTTATGTAGTAATCAGTAAACCCAATAATATTAATTATTTTAACAAGCTATATAGTATGCTATTTGGTATTGGTCCGTCATCGTTATTCATAATATTATTGTGTTTACTTATTTCTACACTCTCATAGGCATCTAGTTGCCTGTTGTTGTTAACCTGTCTAACTAATCTCAATGAACTGAAGTCTATGGAATGGTTTTGTTGCAAAATATGATGGGCGACTGCTGATATTTCAGGTCTTCCATATTTTAAGTGTGCTATGTTCCTTATATCTCACTTCAATAGATCTTTTTGTCTGTCCATGATATTTTGCATCGCAGTCCTTACATTCAATTTCGTAAATTCCAGACTTTTCCGAATTCTCGACTTTGTCTTTTGGACTTCCCAAAAGGCTCTGTAGTGTATGCCTTGTTTTAAAAACCACCTTCATATCTAGTTCCTTGAAAATCTTTCCAAAGTTCTTCGTATATTGGTGGTATGGAACTGAGATGTATTTATCTTGGTTTTTGTCCTTTCAGAGTATGAACAGCATTGCATATAAGTATGAGGTAGTTTTCATACAAATAATTTCTCAAGTCGTCCTCTTCCTCTTCGTGTAAACAATATACCGCCGACACGATACATTTTTTCTGTAGAGAAATCTCTCGGGGACTCACTTTAATTTAACGGTTTATAAGTTGGAATTAAATTGGAAGGGGATTGATGTCGCGGGCAAAGGGTGAAGGGAGAAGTCACGCGAGACTCGTGTGTATGCTAAACGGTCATGGTTGCTGGCCCTGTTTAATAAAAACCCACCGACAGAAAAATACGAATGAAAGAATGCTGTAAAATCGGGTTTATTGCCTCATTTCTGCTACTCTTCGAAATCACAATGTGACAGTGGTTGAACATCAGAGGTGGGGGTGAAAAATAATCCGTAGGGTGTCTGAAAATAATACCGACACAATAACTTTGTCCAAAACAAGCATTTCTCCCAATTCCTAACCCTTCATATCTCATAAGATACAATTTCACTTTTAGCTGAACTGTGCCCTGTACATCAATGACGTTTTGGGTATAAATTACCGTGAACTTTTCTCGTGAAAGTCCCCTCTGATTTTTGAGGAAGTTGTGAATTCTGATAGATAGATACATAGATATTTATTTTCTCCTTCATTGCCACTATTGCATGGATTAGGTAAGTCAGAAATACATAAAATGATGAAATGTAAAATGTATAAGGTATATATACTAAACACATCTTCCATACTTCCATAGACATGGATTGTGAACGTCAACAAGGATCAACGTGAGGAGTTGAGCACATTTCGTCACTTCTTCCTTCTTAGCGATCTCAGTTGCTTTCAAATAAGTTAAAAACCTCTGCTTCCAGAACCTCCACTTTTCGACAAGGTTTAATCGGTGACCCTCGAGACAGTTGACAGTTGGCACTTAGGCATTTTATAGCGTACTTATTACAGAAGTGATGAATATGAAGGTAAATGATGGGCTATTTGGAGTAGGATTTTTGTCAACTATGGCATAGTTGTTATGCCATACTTTGCTATTTCCAGACTTTCGAGAGCGCCTACAGTCATCAACAGTTTTAATTCATTCCATGGCCGTTCTCCAAGGTGTATTTAGCAATACTATACTTTCGGAAATATCCGCGTTGTCTTTGAAACGAATTTAAAAGCTCATTAAGTCTGACCGATATACTTTTAGCCGCACTCCTCACATCTTGTTTCATATTTTCCCGACCTATCATTTTACAACAGTTTTGTGATCAAGGTTACCTGCTACGATCTGTCGAAGTAAACAAGCATTTTTGAGGGCTACTTTCTACTTCAGATTCAGTTCTAGTTCAACTTTAGTTCAACAACAATATTTTCTTCGGTATTGTATCTATCTTTATTCAAGGGAAACGTATCAAGCAAGAAACTTTGTTTCCGCCATTTTGTGTTGTGGACAATGCTGTAACCTGTTAGGAATATATTGAGTTCTGGTATTTTTCCTACCTATAGACATCAAATTCTAGACCCTGGTTGCGTCTACTCACCAGAAGCCGTCTAAGAATGGTATCTCCTCGTTGTTGTCAATTTCTTGTAACCTAAATATTCCGGGATCTGTTGTTGAAAGTCGAAACAAAGTCCACTACAGTGCCAGAGGTTTATACATCCTGAGTTAATCTCCGATGACTGGATATTACTTTACTGCGTAAAGCGTTGTTGACTCAGGTAGTCAGGTGTGATAATACCTGTACCTCCTGTACCTGTGATAATACCTTGTATTTCACATTCTTCACATTCAATTATCAGTTCCTAACCTTTTGTTGTGGATTATACATACTTACTGTTCAGCCACGACTATCTACTTCGAGTATACTCGAACCTCAAAACATTTTCTCACCCTTTCAAAAAGTAAATATGCGGAAAANTACATTGTACAATGTACATTGTACATTGTTTCAAATGAATGAAAAATGTTTGATATACCTACAAATATAGATGGAAGTAAAATCTTTGGACAAATTATTACTGTTCGATTGCGATTTCGATTTTAAACTCAAAATTATGCCTTTAAACTCCTAATTTCAAAGTCGTAATATCCAAAAAACAAATAATAAACTGCGTTTCAGTAAGAACAATATCTACCATTTCTATTGTCAGAGTTGACATATCTCAAAATAGAATGAACAGAGTTATATTAAAAATGTGACATTTGTAGGAAAGAATTAGTCACCTTTTTGTGAAATATGTTCAATTCGTATTGTTGAACCTTGAAGTTGAGAGTTGCAATATAACTAAGCCCCACTTATTCGTTTCTGCGTAGTCATTAAATTCCAAAAAAACAATTCTAAAGCACATGTAATAGAACAGAATCATGCAACAGCTCGGTAATCAAAGTGATTGTTTGAGAACCCCTGGGAATTCACAACTACAATTATATTGCCCATCCCCCAATAACTAATCTTTCTTTCGTGAGATTATTAAAACTGAAACCCATTAGTGAAATAGATTGAGTTTATTAAGAAATTGGTTCATCAGTTTGAACGCCCATAAAAGTTTCCTCTGAAAGCCACTCCACATTTGATATACATGAGAAAAATAAAAAATTCTTTGGTACTATCATTGAATATTCGGTTTCAAAATCGAATACCTATAGTGAAGAAATATGTAAAAATAATATCATCTATATTCAAATGTACCTGATTCTAATTTTATTTTGTTTTATAAGTAATTGTAGATTTCATTTTCAGGATTTTCAGTAATAAAATCTGAAGTAAGAGTAAATGTCTTAGATTGTCGTTGCCATTTTACTTTGGATTCCGAACTGAGCTCCGGAAAGAATAATGTGCCATGAATTTGGTCAAAAATTAGAAGGATCATTTAGGTCGTCACCGTTTTTTTACAACAAAAGAAACAGTACTGTTTCAAAAAGTATATTTGTTGTTGAAAAGGGTAAACAGGGATTTTCATGATGAGCGTTAATTAGCCTTCTGGCAAACTATTCAACGGATCAACCTGAAAATTCCACAGTA